GCTAAAGGAAAAGTGCTAAAAGTAAACCAGATGAAATTATGATTGGTCACGAATAGGAGCTTAGCGAAAAGAGCGACCAGGTATACCGACCCCCTCCCCTGCATTACCCTGACAGCACACTTATTTTTAGAAACAAGAGACAAACTACCGAAACCAGGAGCATTGCATCACATTTTTTAAGGCCCATACATGAGGCTGAATCAGTTAGCTGCGTCGATTAGGGCGCGTCCTTCAAAAAAGAAAATCTGAACAGCCCTACAGCTTGGCATCTCTAGCGGAACTGTAGTGACGTTGCGTTGCGATTTGTGCAGATTCATGTTTTCATAGCTGACTGCTCTCGAAACCCGGCTACATAAGTTCCGTGTGAGAATTCATCTCAAAATGTGGCAGCCACGAAACCTTTCAGCGACGTCATCCAGATGTTGGCCCATTGCCAGCACGTTCCAACCGTGAAGTTGAGCTGCTGCAGCTAGTCGACCTCGTTTCATACGACTGCAGAAGGCACAGATGGATCGTACGGTGTTAAGCTTTCTTGCTGCTCCGATTATGTCTGAAAGAATAGTGAATAGCGCTGTTTGCCGACGGGTGGGGGGGGGAGCATTTTGCACTTAAACGACTTCCCCATTGACGTGTTCGACCTATATACAGGGGGGGGGGCAAAAAAAAGTCATTTTGCCTCCATGACTTTCAAGGCGCTATAAGTTACACTTTATTAAATTTTTATCGGACATTTTTACTACCATATTAAAGAGCACATTAAATACTATAATGATACTCCGCCACAGCCTTCTGGAGGAGCGCCATCGAGAGATTCGGCCGCGCGAAAGTGAGTGGGTACCGGAGTTGAGCGAGATCGTTGATTTCTCCGCCACTGTAGACCACCCTGTTGAGCTCCGCCCGAACCGAGTAATTGAGGGGTTTAGTTCAGGACCCCCGCTTAAATACTCCATCTTTTCCAGGTACTCAACGTTCTTCCATTCCAAGTAGGCGAAAGTTTTTCCAACGAAATGTGTTGTCACCCAATCCTGTAGCAGTACAAAGTTTCCAAGAAGGTACGGGCGACGACATGAAGATGGGATATTCTCCTCGAGTTGCTCGATGTAGCCACCAGCGCACACCCTCAGTCTGGGGCCCACGAAGAAAATATCGGTTCATCCATTCCAGGTACGGCCGGTCCACACCATCAACCCGCGCCTTGGTGAATGGGGTGAAGATGATGTCCTGGACCGTAGCGACGTTGCCGGAGCTGCTCGATGTTTGAGGTCTTGCAGATCAAGAGTACTGGTCTCCAGGTAGCTATCCATGGGTGATTCCATTCAAGAAGTTCCGCAGCTGTTTGGAGGCCACGTGAATTCCAAAGGCGTTCTCCACTCAGGCCGCGACTGGAGATGACTTCATATTTTGGTGTACATGAAGGTGAATGGCGGCAGCCGGCTCCTGCTTATAGAGGAAGATCTTGGGTATCTTCCGCCCTGGTACTCATATCCACTTCCTCTGTCTGGGCTGCGAAAACTTCGCTCATATGTGACTCGGCCGGAATGACTTTTTTTTGGGGCCCCCCCCCCCCCTACCTGTGGACAGCCTCTTCTCGAGACAACATTACCATGATGGCTTGACGAGCTTGCTCCAGCTTCACAAGAGTTCACAGGTTTCACCAGAGTGAGACTTGTAAACCAGAACTAGTGAAGCAACGAAAGTGCAAAATGCCCCCCCCCCCGTCGGCAAACTGCGCCGAACAGTGATAAGAGAAGGAACTGAAAGTAAACTTTTAGTTTTTATCCAAAAAGCGATACGGAAACTCACCCTGCTCTTCGTAGAAATAGTCAATATTCAGCGATCTGCAGTACTCGATCAGTGGTCGCGGATTATACGCTGTCGAGCCGGGGTCCACTGTGATAGCACCAAGTTCGAAGTTTGTGCTGAAAAAAAAATTCTGCGTAAGTACCTTTAGCCTGATGCCCTGGTGGTCAACTGCGGTCGGATTAGCGACTCGAAATCAATCCGATCTCAATCTCAATCATCTCCTTCCCCTTGCATATTTCAAGCTTAAAATCTAATAGCCAGCTAGCTTGAAGGTCAGATACCCCCCCCCCAACCAGGAGAGTTAATCAATAAGGCATATAAACTTTGCAGCTTGCATACCTTTTATTCTTTCGACATCGCATCTGATAAAAATGTAGAATGTGAAGCAAAGAGAGTGAATCCTTGCCTCCAGAAAGACAGACAAGCACTTTGTCACCTTCCTAAAAATTTCAGCATTTTCGTTCTATTGTGGTACAGGGTCAAAGAGCACCACGCTATCAATACCATCATGTTTTTTAGGTCAATCCAAGACTCGTAGTTATATTTATAGTTCATCGTCAACTTATTTGAAGCTATGTCTAGTTACAGCTAGTTGTCAAGCTACAGTCTATGTCTACGCTGATAATCTACAGTGGGACTTTCCTCATTGGAGTTTTCTATCCCACCCTCTTAGAAAGAGAGGCGCATCAATGAGGAAGGCATTGCAGTTGACTGTCTCCGCCCATACGAACATGGTGTCCCGTGTTTTTAAGAACTTTTATGGCGTCTCTGATTAAGGGGGAGCGAGCATTTTCAAACTCCCTGGTTCCTTCTACTAGGACCTTAACTTACGCGCATTACCTTTCTGAGACCTGTAGACCACTCAGATCTCGTGCTACTGCATAGTTTTACAACAGTTCACAGAACCCTACAGCAGGCGTTGACAATGATCGATGGCAACCAGCGAAATGCCATATCAAGCCGAAGAGCACATACTTTCATAGCGGTTTCACCGCTGAAGGCCTCTGAAGTCTCACGAATGCGAAAAGTTCTATTCACGTTAGGCAATACACCTGCCGTTAAACAATTGAGATAACAACTTGTTTCAGTACAACAATTGCTGTTTAACAGTTAGTGCTGTGACAGGGAGGCTGAGTTATGGGTAGGAGACTGGACCTCAAGCGGAACTTCAATCAGCACATTAGGCTCACGCTCAGTAAGCGTGTGGGGGCGAGTAAGCCCGGCCTGAGGCCTACTCTTTCGCCCATTACTCAGCGTTTCTGTGATAATGTAGGTAATACAATGTATCAAACATCCGGCCCAGACACCTTAAG